TAAAAAAAAATGAACCGAAGATTCGTTGAATCCGTTCAAACAACAATCAGTTGGATTAAAATGCAGTTACAGTAGTGCAATCCAGGAGCACTGGTACAGTAAAAAAAAATAGGAGACTGTAAATAATTCGCAAATAAACTAACCGGAGAAAACAACTAATAAAATTGAGTGAAATGCAGATTGTGATATTGTAACTCCTACTGCATTAGATTACCACATAAAGGACAATACAAAACAAATGGATAATGATTCATCAGAGTGCACCGCACGATGATGAAGGTCAACTAAGACAAAATTGTATGCTTTGAGTGTTTGTTTACTGAACACTGGTGCAATTACGTGGTGAATAAGGTGCATATTATCGAAAATGCATCAAACACGCATTCAATGTTTGTTTACAATCTGTGATGTTTTGGTTTAAATTTGGCTGCCTCCGATTATTTTTCCAATTTATTCGCGTGAACTCTTTCGAATCATGTGCAGCTTTACAACTGGTAGACGTGATACACATTGAATCCGCCCGTTTTGATTACAGTGATTGAATAGGGGTTTTGTTGTTGTTGATAACAGTCGAAACCCCGGAAATTACTCCTTTTTCCCCGGTAACCATGTGCGTCCGAACACTTAAACCAGTCTGTGATTAACACGTGACCTGACCGAACAAAACTCATCTGATCGTGGTGAATAGCTTGATAAAATGACGTTTCCGGGACAGAGGGGAGAAGAATGAAAATATTTTTGGGTTTTCAAAAACAAGCATATCCTGAACAAACATGTAATTTTTCCAAACCAAATGCACTAGATTTTTTTTTGTGTTTGAAAGCCAAAAAACAGAACTGGACACTTTTGTCGTTCACGTGGTGAGATATTGGTAGTTTGTAGTATATTAAAGTTCCAGCCGGAGGGGAACAAGTTGAACCGCTCCCGTTGCATATCGCGATTTCGGTTTTTAAAATAGCTATTTACATTGATTCTTTGTAGAATTTTGCACTGTTTCACGCCGGTCGCGTGGTTTTCTTGACAAAAAGCGTTACGGAATTGCCACAGGATTTGGAATTCTATCGACCAACCGTTTTTATTTCTGTTCCCCGAATCTTCACGCGAATGTATATCAACACACTGAAAGGCTGCACGAGTCGATTTAGTCGTTGGCTGTTGGAATTCGCTATTCAGCAGAAGCTGTCGGAACAGAGAAAGTGAGTCCATACATAAAATCAAGTAGCGATGGAAAAGGCTTTTTAGGTGGACGGGGTGGCAGGGGAATTAACATTTGTTCCATCTTATCGAGTGCAAGCGTGTTCTACTGAAAAAATGAGTTGTACACCATGAAATACGCAGATTATGGATAACGCGTTTTCAAATTGGTCATGTATTCGGCCCAATTTCAGTCTGAGGACAAATTTGGTTATTGATTTTCGAACAAAAATTCCGTCATTTGATCATGCCGATTTGCGTTTTTCAATCTTTTTTGTAGTGATCCTTTTTCCGATTTCGATCTGAAGGATAGTCATTTAAAGTCAATGCCACGTTTTCCGCATAACTAATCACAACTAATTATTAGTTAACTGTGGATCCAGATTGGTCGTGATGGATTGAATTCGAAAAGGGATATATTTTTACACCATTGAAACATCATTCTTTACGTTCGGGCTCTTGAAAAGAAATGAGATAAAACCGATGCGATAAAACTAAGAGTTCAGCTTAGTTCAGCTAACCGGATTTCCAGCATTTGAAATTTCCCTTATGACAAAAATGTGATTCTTTAATTGCATCATTATGATACCTTAACGGAGCGGGGGGAATGCTTAGTTCCCTATCTGAATCAAGGTGCACTTTGCCAGGTGATAAATGACGGTAGAAAGTGGTTGTATGCNTCTGCGCTTCATGTTTACTCATACTACTCGACGTGTTTACCGTCCGAATGGGTTGGGTCCAAGGTTTCAAGAATTTACGCCTAACTGGACCTATAGATTGGAGTTCCCTGTCCAAGGTTCTCGCATCTTCATACTAGGTCACAGTCTGACACCATTAGTCTTTTACAACTACCGTCTGCTTTGAATACCATCTCATGCCGTGCAAACCTATTCGGTGACGTTCGTGTCATTTTCCCAAGGTATTGCGAGCTATGGGAGTTAAACATACATATATATATTTCAGCATAAGTAGTATGTGAATGAGTGGAGAAAATATATATATATATATATATATATATATATATATATATATATATATCACAGATCTGACGCCAGACTGCGAGCCAAGCAAATCATGGTACAATAATCTGTATAAAAAGAGAACCGTTCCACAATTTGCATGTGGGCGAGATAATGCCAAGTTGCC